AAAAAAAAAAAAAAGAAAGTGTAATAAACGTAAGACATTATCATTCCTTGCTAAATTAGGAGTAAGAGGTAGGTTTTTAAGCCAGAAATATTTGTTCTCTAAAGTCTTAAAAGCAAAACTGACTCTTATGGATTCTGATGCTTAAATGCAGAGGTGGGGAGGCAGTATGTGTAATGGTTATGGCCACAGGGTTCAGAATCAGATCAATACCAGGTTTGTACCTCTCAGTTCCACCACCTTCTAGGAATGTCATCTTTGGCATACTACAATCTTTAAATCTGGGATCTTTATCTGCAGAATATGCAAAATAATAGAATAGCTTTGCACAATGTGGCACTAGATGCATTCAACTTTATTGTAGCACTCAGCTATTAACTTCTGGAGTTGTATATCCATGGTTATTGACAAAAAGGCCTGAAGCACTGCAGACATTACAAATACTCTAAGAGACCCAGTCCCTGAGTTCAGGAATCACAGCCCAAGAGGCCAGTAAGTCCTAGGATAGACTAAGTGATACGCCCTCAGCTGAAGAGGGAGTGACAAGGGGCAGCGTCCAGCAGGACCAAGAGGAGAGAATTCCCAACCAAATTTTCTCTTCCCAACCCTGGGAAAGAAAAGGAGCGAAGAACTGGTCAAGGAGGGTCCCCAGAACGCCCGCGGCCCGCCTCAGCCTCCCCGGGTCCGGCTGGGGTGGCTGAGCAGTCCACTCACAGCTCCAAGCTCTGTGGCACGGCCTTCCGAGTGTATCTGGAAATCATCCTCCTCCTCCTCCTCCTCAGCCGCGGCCGGGGCGACCACGCCAGGGTGGGGGCCTCCGGGCCTGGCCCTCCCGCCGGCTCCGGCCCGGCCCCCTCCCGCCACCTACCGGCCCCGTCTCGCCCCGTCGCCTAGACTCCGGACCGCCACCTCCCCCGGGTCCCCACCTCTCCAGGACTCAGACCTCCCAGCTTCCCCGCGGGGCGGAAGTGACGGAGGCAGGAGGGCTCCTGTGAAATGCTCCCGCCGACGCGCAGCAGTGACAATATCCAAGGTTCCGGGGACTGAGCCGATTTCAGACTTTCTCCCAGGACTTCCGCTGGCCTTAGATCCCCGGCTGGCGTTGGGACAGAACGTGATCCAGGCTTTTGGCACCTGGTGGCAGTTCTTAACCAGCTCACGCAGTGAGGTGGGCAGCTGAGGAAAGGTGTAACAGCAGAGACGCAAAGGAAAGCCCCAAGAACCGTAAGAGGAATTTCCTTCATTTTGTCAGATGGAAGCAGGGAGCCTAGTCTGAGTGAGGAGCACTGGACTCCAGTTCAGGCCCCTTCTGCTTGGTCGCTTCTCTTTCTGTGCTCTCAGCTTTTTCATTTGTAGAGTGAGGTGTTAGCCTGCGGAATCTCAAAGTCCATTCCAGTCTTGGCACTTTAAATTCTGCATAATGAGATGTATTTGGCGTTTTGGAATGGGTGGGTAAAATTATTGCTTGCCCATCTTGGTTGAAAGGAAAAATGATTTGAAGAGACTATAGTGAATGGGTGTCTACATAGAAGATTCAAGATTCCTTATTAGTGCGTTAGAAAGCTCAGTAAGCATAAGGAAAGAATTGCTGCATTAGGGTGTCTGACCAATAAACTCGTACTATTACTTGTAAGGAAAACCTCTAGGAAATGAAGAGCTATCTGTCACTTCCAGAGGTATGTATATAACTGAGACTTGAAAGGGGGGCAAATTTACGGCAGATAATGTAGGATCAAAAACTGGGCAGAGAGACGGGCGCCGTGGCTCACGCCTGTAATCCCAGCACTGGGGAGACCAAGACGGGAGGATTGCCTGAGCTCACAGGTTCGAGACCAGCCCGAGTAAGAGTGAGACACCCTCCTCCCCATCCCCCGTCTCAAAAAAAATAGCTGGGCATTGTGGCGGGCGCCTGTAGCCCCAGCTACTTGGGAGGCTGAG